GGTTTCTCTAATAAAGTCTTATAGATACCAGCGCTTAATGTCAGATCAAATCAAATATTGTATTGAAGATTTTCGATTTGATAAAGTAAATGCATTGATTGTATTTTCTCATATAACGATTAGTTTATGAAACAATTAAGAGTAGGTTTTTATTGTTCAATGAAAATTGTATACAAAATTGGTTTATAATCTCGTTAATCTAGCTTTCATATAATCAATAAGCTATTCATAAAACAAGTATTGTCACTCTTTTGCAGATCTCATGCATATTTGGATACGTTCCAGAACACATATGTTTATATATAAGTATTGATATACCAGTTTATTGTAATTGTTGATCAGGATCAACTTTTATAGATTAAAAAGCTCTTTTCTTATTTCTACATGAAATGTTTTTAATACCAAAACATTTATGTAATAATTATTAAAATGTAGAATAAAAAGTCATATAGTGGAAATAAATTGTTTAATGGTTTGTCTTTTAATGCTTTTAAATTCATATTCATCCATGTAAAAGAAAAACGCACAAGAAATCAGATCGAAACTGATTATTCCCAGAAAAATCAGAAAAAATTGGTTATATATGCCAATTTCAGATTAAACTAAATAATTTAATAGATTATAATTGATTTCTACAGACGATAATCAATTAGAACCGATTCTTTTGGCAATAATTCGAATAATCGATTAAAAATCCAATCGATTATAATAGATTCCAAGAATACTCTATTATAATCGCTTGGAGTTTTCATTGATTATTTGGATTACTTGGTAGATAATAGGTTTTAATAGATTATTCTTAGAATCTATTATAATTGATTGAGTTTTTAATCGATTGTTCGGATTATTGCCAAAAGAATCGGTTCTAATTGATTATCGTCTGTAGAAATCAATTATAATCTATTAAATTATTTAGTTTAATCTGAAATTGGCACATATAACCAATTTTTTCTGATTTTTCTGGGAATAATCAGTTTCGATCTGACTTCTTGCACGTTTTTTTACACGGATAAGCTAGAACCACATTTCGGCTTTTAACGTACTCTATGGCGACCGATGTTTAAGCTGATTACCTGCTCTATGTCGCTTATTAATAATGATGGGCCGTCCAGTAATTTGAAAATTTTACAATTTGCGAACACTTACATAAATGCAATGATAGTTACGAAACCTATACGAAAATACATCTTTACCGCAATCTGCTACATTCTTCGGTTACTCTTCCATGACTTCGTATTTTCTTTCGTAACGTTTCGATTCTTACGGCCCATCACTACTTATCAAGGCTAAACCATGTCGAAAACAAGCCATCGCTGTTATCGAGATGTGTTGTAAACAACTTTAACCGCGTAAAAATGATTCTAATCTGGTTTTTGTTTTATTATAAAATCGAAATGTAATAGGCAAGACTCATCAATTTTAATCGATTTTTTCATTTTAATTAATTTTAATTGATTTCTAATGTAATTATTTTTGATAAAAATGGAGTTTCAGAACACGAAAACACCGCGACGCCAATATCTAGATAACCTTCATCGTCAACCGGGTGCTGGTAGAACTGCAGACATTCTATAGTTTAGCTAGATTCAAGAAAACACCCATCCTACATAGCATAAAGTATCGTTGCAGAATCTCAATACATGCAGTACTCACATCCAGATTTCGAGTCAGAATAAATAACGGTTTCCGCAACATCTGTACATGAGGAAGTATTACTGGGTTTTCCGCTTTTATCTGTATGTGCCATTAGAAATGAGCAAGCGCATCATTCTCAGTCCTGGTCTCCTAAATACTCCGATTTTTGGTTCTAGTTGGCAATCCCATAAACAAAGACTACAGTAATTTTACTTTTAATTTCAAAGGTTTTTTAAAATTCAGAAACGTAAAGGATTTGCTTTTGAAAATTTCAGGAAGTTTTTGTTTACTTAGGCTAAAGAAAAGTCTAGTGTTCTGGAGTCGGAAACGAAGTTTTCGGTTAAAAATGATCGTTCTGACGAACGTGAACTTTCATATTTGGTCTCAGTTGCGTTCATCTCTATCTTTCATGTCATATTTGCATACAGGTTTTGTTATACACGAACTTCCTTAATATGGTGAAAGGGTATGGTATGGAAAAGTTCTCCACGCACACTCACATCTACACCCTTGTAAATTACATTGTACAATATTTTTGGCTAAAGCAACGAAGAAAATATAAAACAGTCTTGACTTGTAATAATGGAGATGATAGTGTGTTCAAAAATATGATATTAAATATTTGATTATTTCAAACTTTTACTTTTCAGTTCTTCCTGCATAAACTATAGATTTTTAAAATATATGAAAGTTGAAAACATGTAAAAACCACCTAGAATTACTTGTGTCGAGTTTGAAAAAGAAAGTTTCGTGATTTTATCAACTGCACAAAAACAAGTGCCAAAAGATTGGTTGCGAACACTAAGATAGTAACGGCATGCGTTTACTTAGAATATTCTATTTAAACAAAAAAAAAGTTTTCAGAGAACTGGATTTTGTAAAGAAAACCTTTGTGATATTCGATTAGAAATCAGCATACTTAAAAACCCACCAGAAAATTTTCTCATAAAAGTGAAGTGGTTTGAAGGCCATTTTAGTTTCTATAAGACAAAAAGTTTAAGTACTTTTGAATCAAAGAGAGAAAAAGTTAAGTTTTTGATTGCCTAGATTGTCATGAATCGTCTTGAGATCGTGGGATTTTTTCTGATTTTTTTTGAGTTTCTTGTATATGCATCAAAACAATTTCCATGCATTTATTATTGAATGGACCATACGCGCCATTTTAATGTTGGTAGAAAAAGACAGTAGAAATGACTTAATATCTTCAGAAAGGAAAATAGAACATAATTATATATATACGACGTCCAAGTAAGAGAGATCGACGTGTCAATGAAATAAGGAAGAGAAAAAAAAAGATTTTTATTGATCTTAATTATCATTGATTGACATGCTTGTAATCAATTCTCTCCTCTTTCTTGTCTAAAACCTGAACGTCAATTCAAAGGCAATCTCAACTCTGAAAAGCCGCCAAAAGCAGCTTCTTGGATAAATTGACCATTTTTCAGACTAAGATGTCTGCTTGCCTATTTAAAATTGCCTATCATGCGATTGGATCTCTTTTATGACCTCGTTGTTTAGTTTTTTTCTTTGAAATTTTATATCTGACATTTATGAAAAAAATTTAATTTGTTAAAAACAGAAGGAGAATGTTAAGAACCCACATTTAATTGTTTCGCATACGTATGGTAGTTTTAAACAAGTAAAAAGAATCAATTACATGCCTTTGGAAAGGTCATGTCCTTGGAAAGTATCCGTTTGAAGTCTATGAGATTTGTCAATAGTTCTACCTCATACTAAAGTATCTTGTTACGGCAACATTAGTAATATTTACAAGAAAATGGTAGAATATCAATCATGTTTGAAACAATATTGTCAATTTCTAGCCATTTTTTTGAGTAATAGTATTTTCGAAATTTTCCATACAAAAAGTCGATTTAAGAATATTGAAAACAACATTTTTACATTAAACTCGACGAATTCTATTCGACTGTTATATATTGAAGTATCATTCGAGTAAGAACAAGAAAAAGTGAATATGGGGCTATTGGATACATGAAAAAGAAGACACAATAGGGATAATATAACTGATAATTAAGAAAAAGGAAAAAATAAAGAACTTAACTATCAAAGGAAATGAATAGTTTATGTCGAGGTCAATGATTTCAGAGCACGGATACACAGATTTTTCTGCAGAAACCTAGTGAAAAACTTGGAAAAAGAAATCTGATTATTGAATTCCTGCTTCCAAGTTCTAACCAATTTTTGCGCTTTTCCAGTCAGAACCAGCCTGTATTTTTTGACCTGGGCTTATACGAATGTAATGACGCGTAAGAAAATCCCAAAGAAAGAAGGAAAAAGGCTAATAGATCAGGGAAAGATCAGTAGACTGAACTGTCATAAAATCACATCAACTGTGTGAAAAAAAAAGCGGCCAAAACATTTTTCTCATTTTTTCAATTGAACAGCTGATAACGATGCATTCGTATGAGTGTCACTGTTTTCAATAACAGAGTCAAGCGTAGTGGCACTAACAGAACTTGACGGTGGTCGATCTGTGTTTTCAATGTCTGTAATTAATGGCTTAACTTGATTTGTATTCTTTGGCGAAATTCTAACTGCATCTAGTATACGTTGTGTAAGTTGAAAATTATTTTTTCTTGTTTCCATTTCTGTTGTAATATTTTCATCCGATTGCATTCCAGCATTATCAAATGCATGTTGATCGCTAGATTCATCTATAAGACGACGACGTTGTTGGTGTTTTTCATATGCTTTAATACCAAAATACACACCACATATAATTATTGCACTACCAACCAGACCCACAACAACAGTAATAATTAATGCTGTACGATTTGATGATGAATTTTCATCGCTTGAACTGGATGAAGAAGCTGAAGTTGAATATGTTTTACCATTAATATTTATTGAACTAGCTGTTAAATCAGATATAGCATTTGGATCCGAAGCAATACTGTCTACAGCTGATGCTAAACTTTCAGGGTCGGAATCAACATCAAATAATACGATAACACTACCTATTAACATAAAACATATATAAAGGAAAAAAGCAAACTTCATATTTTCATTGTTAAACCTTTTGTTAAGATAATATCACTAGTAATTGGCATTCTAATACGAATTAAATAATTATAGATAATTGCTCTTTTAATTTCTAATAAATCACTTGTTTGAAATTTATCATAATCTCCAATAAATGTTATATTCGATGATGGCAAACTACTATCACTATCAAGAGTCGCTTGAAAAAAAAACAAAGATCAAAAGTTAATATAATAAATTAATTTAAAACGAGAACATACTTGAACTTTTTTTTAACTAAAATCCCATTTGATATAAGTGAAAATACATATTCATTATTTGATGATGTTAATTGAACTTTAATGACATACATTCCAACAGTATCAATTATTAAATTTGTTGCAATAATAGTACTTTTTACTACATCAATAATAATCGATGATGTATTTGTTTTAATTAATGTTCCATTACTATTAAATTCTGGTAAATTATAAAGTGAAATATATGCTGACCATGTCATATTACGCCAATGAATATTTTCAATTGGAAAACGAGATTGACTATCAACAATAACAACTGATATATTAAATGTTTCATTTATTGAAACAACATATATATGATCAATTTGTTTTGCTGCTAATGTAGCTTTTGTAATTGTTAATGATGATGAATTAGCTGTTAAATTTATATTCGACATAAATGAACTAAAAAATAAATAAAAATCAAACTTCTTTTTTTTTAATTTTCGACTCACCTTGTTACATTATTTGGTTGAATAAAAGCAAATTGTACTTGACAATTACCTATAGCTGATAAACCAAATGATGTATATTGTGTTTGTCCATTAGAATAATTTGCAATTGCGCCAATTAATGTTATATTTGAATCACCAACAACACTAGCAATAATTTGCCATGGTTGATCATTTGATCCTAATTTTTCTATTACATTTCCATCTTTATCATATGCAATAAGTTTTGGTTGTATACCACATGGACTTTGTTCACGACAAGATGATGGAAGGATAGCAAGTTCTATTTGATGAATTATACTTAATGATATGGATGATTGGTTAAATGGTTCTTGAATACTTAAATCTATTGGTGTTGTATTGCCAGTAGAAGGATTTTCTGCCCATGCTTGATGTAATTCACCTGATTGATAACGATTAATAATAGCTGAACAAATATTTGAAATTGATCCGGTTTCAACAATAGAATTGGTTGATAAAACTTCCACTGGATCATCACGTATTTCAACAGTTAATATTATTGTTGA